CACGTTGGGTGATACCTGAAGCTGTTTATAATAATTGATTTTTCAAGCCGTTTTCTAATGATTCTTGTTAGGAAGAGTAGTAAAGCATGCGGAGAAAGCTGCAGGGCACTGCCAGTGGCCAGATGTGAATACACACTGCAGGCACCTGCTGTGCCCTATTCTGGACTGTGATGTTGAAAATCAGCAGAGGGGTGAATAGCTATGAAGAGTATATTTCTATGGCACCAAGTGAGTGATAGTTTAATGAAGGGTGTTATTACTTAATATTTCTTTCTTTTTTTTTTCTTGGAGACCAAGTCTCACTTTTGTTGCCCTGGCTAGAGTGCTGTGGCATCAGCCTAGCACACAGCAACTTCAAACTCTTGGGCTCAAGTGATCCTCCTGCCTCAGCCTCCCCAGTAGCTGGGACTACAGGCATGTATCACACCATGCCCAGGTAATTTTTTCTATATATTTTTAGTTGGCAATTAATTTCTTTCTATTTTTAGTAGAGGCAGGTCTTGCTTTTGCTCAGACTGGTTTCGAACTCCTGACCTTGAGCGATCTTCCTGCCTCGGCCTCCCAAAGTTCCAGGATTACAGGCATGAGCCACCACGCCTGGCCAATATTTCTTTTTTTTTTTTTTTTTGAGACAGAGTCTCGCTTTGTTGCCCAGGCTAGAGTGAGTGCCGTGATGTCAGCCTAGCTCATAGCAACCTCAAACTCCTGGGCTTAAGCAATCCTGCTGCCTCAGCCTTCTGAGTAGCTGGGACTACAGGGATGTGCCACCATGCCCGGCTAATTTTTTCTATATATATTAGTTGGCCTATTAATTTATATTTATAGTAGAGATGGAGTCTCGCTCTTGCTCAGGCTGGTTTCGAACTCCTGACCTCAAGCAATCCACCTGCCTCAGCCTCCCAGAGTGCTAGGATTCAATATTTCTTATTAGTTTAAAATGTCACTCTGTATTGAAATGATCACCAGAAAATATTAGAGGCTTCATTTTGGGTTAAAATTCAGTAGAGGCTGAAGTGGAAGCATTGCTTGAGGTCAGGAGGTTGAGACCTAGGCAATATAGTGAGGCTTTGTCTCTAAAAAGTAAAAAATAAATTAGTTGGATGTGGTGGCACACACCTATAGGCCCAACTAATTGAGAGGCTGATGTGGAGGATGCCTTGGGCCTCAGAATTTGAGGCTGCAGTGAGCTGTGATTGTGCCACTGCACTTCTGCCTGGGCAACAGCATCTCTACAAGAAACATTCATTAGAGACCCTCAGTGTATCAGGTATAAGTTTGGATTTGGTTCTATTTTACAGCCTTACTTGGGATACAGAATATAGACATGGAACAATTAGAGAATAAAACTGCATTTGGTGCAGCTTATGGAAAACAGACAATAAGTTGCTTCAAGATTTCAGTGAAGAAGAAATGCACTGATAGAGTCATCGAGGGGACAGATACTGAGAGAATTGGGACTTTAACTGTCCTTGAAGGTGGATGTACAGACAGGAAGGGGAGGTGACTGTATTCCCTGAATATAAAGTACGAGGGAAGTATGAATTTTGAGTTAGGAAATCAGGCCAGAGCAGAAGTACATTTTAGAAATCTCCCTGCTAAAAAGCCTTGTTCTCCTGAGGTGTGAAGGCATCTGAGGGGTGATGTAGAGGCCTAAATCCTTTTCTTTGTTTGTAGAAGAAGGAAGCGGAGGAATTTGCCTGGAACATGGCCATCCAGCAGGAGCTAGAAAAGGAAAGACAGAGGATAGCACAGCAGAAGCAGCAGCAATGGGAACAGGAACAGTTCCATGCCTTTGAGGAGATGATTCGGAACCAGGAGCTAGAAAAAGAGCGACTGAAAATTGTACAGGAGTTTGGGAAGGTGGACCCTGGCCGAGGAGGCCCACTGGTGCCTGACTTGGAAAAGCCCTCCTTAGATGTGTTCCCCACCTCACCTGTCTCATCTACACAGCCTTTAGACTGTAATACAACTGTAAAGCCAGCTAAGCCACCAGTGGTGGATAGGTCCCTGAAACCTGGAGCACTGAGCAACTCAGAGAGTGGTGAGTACACGTGCTGATCCTGTTCCATCTCAGTTGCTGCCACACAGAGCATTGTTCTGGGGGAGCCAGCCCGAGAGTAACCTCCGTCATATGATTAATAGGCTTTAGTCACAGAAACCCATTTGATAAGTGTTGCTGTATTGTGTCATGTCACACTGCCTGTATTATAAAAGTGGCCTTTGCTTGAACCATATAATTTACCTGAGGCCAGGTCAATTTTCTGAAAAGTTACAACTGTCCTTCAAAGTTAGACTCTGAGCTTTTAAGTGTTATGCAGAGATTTAAAATGTTAAGTGAATTAGAGACCACTGAGCCTTTTGTAAAAATAAATTTGAAATTTATAATACCACTGTGCAATTCAACAGCTAACTTTCAAAAAATAAAAGAGAGCTACTGAAATGTGCTTGCCCTGAAAGCCTTCCTAATCTTTAAGGAGCTTAGTCAAGGTAAACATTATATATAGTTGGTGAGAACTCAGTCTGGCCTTAAAACTATTAACAGTCTTTCTTCCTCTCACCAACAGTTCGCAATCTGAGAAAATAACAATAGGGGCTGATGGTTATGATGAGTAACCTTGATTATCAGAATAGGTTTTTGAGGGTAGGAGTCAACATTCAAGTAGTTATTTATAGGAAGTCAGCTTTGCAGAAGGATCCACTTAAAAGCACAATGTAAGGCCAGGCACAGTGGCTCACACCTGTAATCCTAGCACTTTGGGAGGCTGAGGCCAGGAAATTGCTTGAGGCCTGGAGTTCAAGACTAGCTTGAGCAAGAGCAAAATAAAGTTTGTTTCTACAAAATTAAGAAAAATTAGGTAGGTATGGTGGTGAGCTCCTGTAGTCTCACTCTTGGAGGCTGAAGCAAGAGGATGACTTGAGCCCCGGACTTGGAGGTTGTAGTGAGCTACGATCATGCCACTGCACTAGACACAGCAGGGCAAAGCAAGACACTGTCTCAATTTTTTTTTTTTTTTTTTTTTTGTGAGTCTTAGTCTCACTTTGTTGCCCAGGCTAGAGTGTCATGGCATCAGCCTAGCTCACAGTAACCTCAAACTCCTGGTCTGAAGCAATCCTCCTGCCTCAGCTTCCAGCTGGGACTACAGGCATGTGCCACCATGCCTGACTAATTTTTTCTATATATTTTTAGTCATCCAGCTAATTTTCTTCCTATTTTTGGTAGAGATGGGATCTCACTCTTGCTCAGGCTGGTCTTGAACTCCAGAGCTCAAACGCTCCACCTGCCTTGGACTCCCAAAGTGCTAGGATTACAGGCATGAGCCACCGCGCCTGGCCCAAGACTCTGTCTCGAAAAAAAGAAAAATAAGAATAGCTAAGAAGGGCTGGACTCTGAAGCCTGGCTTTTAGAGCTTCTGTGCATTTACTTGGTGGGCTATCTCACTACTATTCCTTCATACAGAGTCTATACTCTGTGAAATTGGACTATAATGTTCCCAGAACATGCCTAGACTATCTTACCCAAAGAGATTTGTTAACATTTCCCTTCTACCTAGAATCTCCTTTCTCTGTTTCCTGCTATGCCTGGTTTTTTTCTTTGAAGTTTTTCCAGAGTTCCCTCCCTTCAATCAGACTGATTCTGTTCTCCTTAAAACTCTTAGAGTTCTTTCAATCTCTGATGCAATTTAGATCATTCTCCTCATAGTGTTAGTTATTTGTCAATAATTAGATTTTAACTTCTTGTAGGTTGGGGCTTGAATCTTATTCATGTTTGTGTTCCATGTGGGCTGAGCACAGTGTCTACTTGGTATGCACTTGGGAAGTCATTGAACTGAAAGGAAAGGGCTGTGCCAAACCTAATCATAATCCTTAGATACCATCATCAGACTGCCATGTGACTGTGATATGACTTTGTTGCCTCTTCAACTATTCAGATTTTGCTGCTGAATGTGCAGAAGGAGAATATCTTTTTTTACTTTTTTTTTTTTTAATATGAAAATCTGGCTGTGAAAGATGCTTCCTAACTTTAGCTTGCTGGCTCTCTCACAGGGTTTCTCCATGGTGTTCAGGAACTGGGTCCATTCTTGGCATCCTGAGGCAGGTTTTATGAGCTGCTTCGTTCATGCCTTTTTTGGGGGACTAGACTACATTTTGTGTTATTTTGTTCTCGTTTGGTATTTTAACTTTCTTCTAAAAGACAAAACTCAGAAATAAATAACTACTGAAATTCTCTTCCATTATAAAGAATATATCCTGGTGTATTTCTTTGAAAGTCATACTCTCTGATATTCTTATCTGAAATAAAAGGGAGATTTAAAATTAAAATAAAAGTTCAGATGAATGGTGTCGTAATTCACTTGTATATCTGAATATTTGTGGAATTTATAATGAGCAGAAATTTATTTGACTTATGGTTCAAGAGACTGGGAAGTCCAAGATGGGGGGTCCCTGTGGTGAGGGCCTTCTTGCTGTGTCATCCTGTGGTAGAAGGGCAGATGGGCCAAAACCAGAGCCCTCCTGAGCTAATCACCTCTTACAGGTTCTGCCTGTCAACACATTCACACTAGGGATTAATTTTCCAACACATGAACCTTGGTGACACATTCAAACCACAGCAGAGAACTAATCTTTTTAACCCTTTATATTAGATTCCAACAGAAAATTCCCAACTATTTCAGGAACTTTATTAAAGTCGTACTTTACCCTTTTCTTAACTTGAATGACTAAAGCCTACTCTTCTTTTCTTGAAGTAATGTGCTCCCAAGAGCTGCGGCCAGAGATTGGAGTAGAAACTTTACAATCCTTTTTTGGGTGCTGTTAGGATGAGATCCCCATCTATTGCCTGAAGTTGGGGGGATCCCAGCGAGTTAGCGTGGCTCTCCCAGAGATGCCAGCTGTGAGGTCTGCTTGGAGGAGCTCAGTCCAGTGGTCTCAGACTTTCCCCCTTTCTCCATTACAGTTCCTACCATCGATGGATTGCGCCACGTGGTGGTGCCCGGCAGGCTGTGCCCACAGTTTCTGCAGTTAGCCAGCGCCAACACTGCCCGGGGAGTGGAGACATGTGGAATTCTCTGTGGAAAACTGGTAAAGAAAACAAAGTCTTTCCTGAGCTGAGACTGTTTTTTCTCTCATGGCCTCCCATGACTTTCAGAGAAGATATCCAGGGTCAGGAACTGTGCTGATCCCTCCGCTGAAGGAACCATGGACTGCATAATGTAGTGTCACTTTGAATTGGGTGACCCTGTATTTGATTTTTAGAATCCCTTGAATTGAACTGATTATGTTAATGGTAGTACTAAGAAATACCTAATTTTAAACTTAGCAGGAAGATCGATTAATTATCTGTATATCTTTTTTTTGTTTTTTGAGACAGTCTCACTTTGTTGCCCAGGCTAGAGTGAGTGCAGTGGCATCAGCCTAGCTCACAGCAACCTCAAACTCCTGGGCTCAAGCAATCCTTCTGCTTTAGCCTCCCAAGGAGCTGGGACTACAGGCATGCACCACCATACCCAGCTAATTTTTTCTATATATATTTGTTGGCCAATTAATTTCTTTCTTTTTATAGTAGAGACGGAGTCTCGCTCTTGCTCAGGCTGGTTTTGAACTCCTGACCTCGAGCTATCCTCCCACCTCGGCCTCCTAGAGTGCTAGGATTACAGACGTGAGCCACTGCGCCCAGCCAAAAACTTGTTCTTTATGTGCCAGAGGATACAAATTTGAGTAAGATATGACTTTAGCCTTATAAAATAGATAATAATTTCACATGAAGCAGAATATGCCATCTTGTCACAGAAAATAAAAAATCCACATGAATCTCTGAAATTTTTTGTGTCACCTTACCTGTTCCCTATTCTCCCCTAATGTCTTCTTCTTTCTCTTAACTATTGTCTTCTTCATTTTGCCTGGCCTTGCACCCCAGCATGGAAGACAGAGAATCCTAGAGGTCCAAGATTCTATAGTGGCTGTTTGCTAGTGGGAGGAGGCCACAGTAACTGCCACCATGGAGTCTCTAATGTGATCAAAGGGAAAAGTAGTATGAATGCCTCTCACGTATGAAAGAGAAGGATGGCAGGATGTCTGTATGGCCCAAGGAACCAGAGGTAGTAAATTATGGGCAAAAGAACTGTACCCAGAGGCTGAAAGAGGTAAAGTTTACACTCAGCTGTGTCTTCTGCCTCTCTCGTGTTTGCTTCTAATGGGCAGAGTCTATTTTTTTAATATGATGGCACTGAAAAGAAGACCCCTACTCTAGAACTTGACAAGAAGTAACATCCACAAATGTAAGAAAGCAAGGCTCATCCCAGAAACACCTAAAATCAAGAGCAGAAAAGAGAGCGCAGAAGAGAGATGCAAGTTCAAACTGGCCCAGCCCAGCCTACCCCAGGAAGGTGGGATTCAAGAAGAACCTAAAGAGAAGAGCCTTGGACCACATCATTTTCTACAACGTGCACTCAACGAATGTTACCCTACTCTTCAACCAAGTTACAGACAGAGCTCTTTAATCCCTTCCTTTAGTCCTTAAAAGCTACAGTAAGTTCACTGATCAGATCCAGTGAAATTATTTCAGAACAAAGGTTGTTGTTCAACCTAGTGATCCCTTTCCTTCCTACCCAAGAATATCAATTAACTGTTTATATAATATCTAATTATAAATGTATAATATTATACGTTATAATAGGAAACACAGTATACTAAATATGAATGAACATCTATGAGGAATATTGAGATGACCTCCCTAACATAAGAGCCTGAGAAGGTGGAACTCTTATGTCTGTCTTTCACCTCCCCAGAGCTCAGCCAGCCAGGTGCTGTTGCAGCTCTCCTAACACTCCCTCCACCCAGTGCCGCCTTCTTGCTGGGAAACTGACCTCCACATTGGCTAACTCATACCTTTAAACTGCCTGCTTTGTGACATCATTCTCCCACCAAACCTACGAGCACCTGGTAGAATCTCGGGGTTTCCATGGAGTTGTCTGTAAATAAATTTGGATCATCGCAACTGACCAGTGACCAGTGACCAGTAATCAGTGACCAGTGACCTTTCTACTGGCCATGTGCACTCTTCTGCCACTCCTCAGACACCCTCTACTATTGTCTCCTCATCCCTTCTATCCTCCATTGACATTTCCTTTTCTCTGACCACATCAGGTAAGGAAAGGAACTTTTTATGGTTTTTCATTTCTTTCCCCCCTAAATTTAGTAGTAGAGTCAAAATAGCTTGGAATAACAGGGGAAAGTATACTTTCCCCTAGAAATCTGCAGACCTAATTTCACTTGTGGCTTTGACATTTACTAGCTAGCTGTGTAACTTTGGATAAATTTACTCTCTCACAAAATCTGTTTCCTTATCTATTATGTTAGGATAATAATAGATTGGTTATTCCCTGTGGCCCTGTTTGTAGTGTTCAGTCTTAAAGGGTTTGCATAAAGGCAGGGCGTGGTGGCTCACACCTGTAATCCTAGCACTCTGGGAGGCCTAGGCCAGCTGATTGCTCAAGGTCAGGAGTTGGAAACCAGCCTGAGCGAGACCCCATCTCTACTAAAAATAGAAAGAAATTAATTCACCAACTAAAATATATGTATACAAAAAATTAGCCAGGCATGGTGGCACATGCCTGTAGTCCCAGCTACTTGGGAGACTGAGGCAGGAGGATTGCTTGAGCTCAGGAGATTGAGGTTGCTGTGAGCTAGGCTGATGCCACGGCACTCACTCTAGCCTGGGCAACAAAGTGAGACTTTGTCTCAAAAAATAAATAAAGGGCTTACATATAGAAAATGAAATCAGAGACTTTCTGAGAGGTATTTGTTTCATCAGAAACAGAGAAAAAAACCTCAGTGGTGTAGAAAACTAGCAATATATACCGAGATGTTTTATCTGTAATAGTCTCCTGTCACTACTATATCAACTTCAGTACTTTAAATTTAGTGGTGTTCAAAAAGTAATATTTATAAGTTTGGCATTTTCTATCTAAACTCAGTGAAAAGAGAAAATGGGAAAAGAATGGAGGGTATTGGGCAGTAATGAAGTGAATGTTCTAGGAAAAGGAAGTTTGTGACTGTTTTCATTAAGCACAAGGCAATGGGAACTGACATGGGGAGAAAATGTAAAAATGAGGGAAGAGAAAATGTAAGAATGAAAGCTATGGAGAGCATGGAGGAGTTCTCAAGAGGTATTTTGAGATGAAATGTGTAAGACAATTGAAGATTTTAAATTAAAGCAGAAACTATGACCATAGAGTAAAACCTACTGAGAGCAGGGCAAAATGAATTTGGTTTAAGCAAATGTTTAGATTAATGGACTAGGAAAGAAACTAAGGCTGGAATAGAATGTCACTTGAAAAAGCAACTTATCAGAAGAGTCACATTCTGTTATTTGGGTGTCTTTTTTTTTTTTTCTATTGCCTCTTTGAACACAGATGACACTTGACACTTTTGAATATAAACATTTTAAAAATACGTTTAAATCTACAGTCCCTAACCCCGAGGCCGTGGACCACTGTGAGGGTCCTGTCAGGGACCAGCAGATTGCAGGGGTCCACTCCCAGTGACACCCCTCCAACACCCCCAAAAAAAGCCCAGACCTGGGAAAAATTGTCTTCCATGTAGGAAGAGGGGGCACACAGCAGGAGGTAAATGGCCTGCCAGCCAGGGCAGCTTCATCTGTATTTATAGCCGCTCCCTCCCCATTGCTGGCATTACCCCCTGAGCTCTGCCTCCCTCCCGCCCTCCAGGGAAAAACTGTCTTCCATGATAAAAGCGGTCCCTGGTGCCAAAAAGTTTGGAGATCACTAGTTTCTTGCTTCCAATAAATAAACTAATAAAAAGGGATACCTACCTAGGAGTATCCCTTTTTATGAAACAGAAGAAACACTGTTTCATTTTGATTTTATACTATATGGAAGTTTCTCCTATTAAAAACAAAACTAAGTTTCTAAAAAAATGATGCATCTTACCTTGCATCTGAAGGACAGATTCCTTTGTATGATAAGTACGTTTCAAGTAAAGGTTCCTTTTCATCTTTATTTTTCCATCTGAAAACAGAATATGTACTGATTAAACAATCATTAACTGTTTTTCAACCTTAGAATAAAAAGAAAGACCTAGCTAAAGATAAAAAGAAAAATCCCTACATCTCTAATTCCACATTCATCTAAAACAATCTTCTAGACTCATTTGAGTTTTCCTAGATTAAAATTATTTCTAAATTAGATTCTAGCAGTGATATTTTTCTTAGGCTTTGGGAATGACATTTTTTGGATAACAAAGATGATTATAGGCCAGGCGTGGTGGTTGATGCCTATAATCATAGCACTCTGGGAGGCCAAGGTGGGAGGATCCTTTGAGCTCAGGAGTTCGAGACCAGCCTGAGCAAGAGTGAGACCCCGTCTCTACTAAAAACAGAAAGAAATTTTTATTGAAATATTTGTGCACATATATTACAGGTATATGTATACATATACATTCATATTTACTCCATTTTGCTGCTAGTGATGCACTTTTTACCGATATACTTTCTCTCTATATTTGTACTAGTTAGGACTTCATTCAAAATTGCCTTCTATTGTGGGCTGGGGTGTTTTGGTTAACAGTATTCGCTAAAATAGAGTAGATAATATTCACTTTCATAAGGATGTAAGATAACAGGACTTCACTTAACAGTATGGGTACTATGCATTGATGCTTACTACATACCCCAATTTGCAATTCTTTTTAGTTCTATAATATTATAATTTTTTCATGATTTGTGTCTGTCCAGAATTTATTATACTTTCTCCATACAAATAATATGCAATATATCACTTTTATTCATGTATGAATTATCATTGTTGTTATGATTATAACTAATTTATAGATGAGTAACCTAAAGCTCAGAGAGTTTAACTAACTTTTCTAAATTTTTTTCTTTTTTTGAGACAGAGCCTCATTCTATTGCCCCAGCTAGAGTGCCGTGACATCAGCCTAGCTCACAGCAACCTCAAACTCCTGGGCTCAAACAATCCTCCTGCCTCAGCCTCCCAAGTAGCTGGGACTACAGGCATGTGCCACCATGCTCGGCTCATTTTATATATATATATATTTTTTTTTAGTTGACCAATTAATTTCTTTCTGTTTATAGTAGAGATGGGGTCTCGCTCTTGCTCAGGCTGGTCTCAAACTCCTGAGCTCAAGCAATCATCCCGCCTCGGTCTCCCAGAGTGCTAGGATTACATGCGTGAGCCACTGCGCCCGGCCTTTAACTAACTTTTTTCTTTCAAAAAGCATGTCATGAGAGACTCTCACATAGTGCTTTTGACTGAGGATAAGAAGCCAGGATTAAAAAGGGTAAAGAATGACCCTTTACACTTATCAGCTGGTTTGGGCTGTATTTGAACACTAGGAAATGGCAAGTGATCTGCACAAGCAAAATTGGGCATTAAAGATTACAGTGGTAATAGCTGTACTATTATCTAATGGACGCAAAGTTGCCTATATTAACAGTTCTACTTCTGGTTTCCAGTCTTTACTCAGAACAAAGAGTCCTAGCAAGGAACTCTGTGATCTGGTAATAATACTAACATGATGGGAGAATTTGAATAGGTCACTCTGACCTCTAAGAGCCTCAGTTTCCTCACTTATACAATGAAAATGTGAGAACAGAAGTTCTCTAAGGACGTCCTAGTTCTACATGACTCTAATTCTAGGAAGTAGTTATGAGTCAATGCTAATGCTGGCTCAGGGTAAAGATGGCAGAAGGTTGCTTCCAGCCTAGGGAACAATGTGTGAACCAGACCACTTGGGTCTTCTGCACATCTCTGCCCAAGTTGGACACAGAGGCAGTTCCTCAGAAAAATATCCAACTGCTCCAGAACTTCACAGCACCATAAACTATTTGGCTTTTGGTATCCCAGTGAGTATTGGTATTAGAGGCTGCCTGATTGCAGCAACATTAAGATGATACTATTCCTCACATACAGTGAGAATTTGTCCGTCTCATCAGTTTTTTCATCATCCTCTTTTTTCCTACAGAAAATTTCCAAAATTCATCTTTACTTGGAACTGCAAATTCTCTGCAGCTCTCTCTTCCTGTGGTAAGCAATGAAGCTTCCCTAACAGGAAGTGTCTGCAACTTCTCCAGAGTCTCTACTCCAGCTGTTAGCTTGTCATGGATACTGCCATCACCTGCTAGCAGCTCATTCCAGTCACTCATGGGTAGTGCCTACCTTTACCAACATTCTAGCACAACTATGTTGTCTGAGGTTACTGGCCACAGCCCCATGTCCATTTCAGCTGCCTCCTATCCAAGTGTTTTTGATTGGGATATGACAGGAAGCACTGAAAACTCATCTTCACTTGGGGACCTCACTGTGACTCTCACTGACCAGGACACAATTGTTTCTTCCATGTCTATGACAGTCCAGTATGATCAAGCTTCAGATGCCAATACCATGCTCCCTCTGTACCCATCACTCTCTGCCAGCCTTCTTCAGGGAACATCATGTGAAATTTCAGATCAAGGACAGAGCCTGTCACTTAATTATGAGAAAGGAAGCAGGGTCTATTACTACAATCAAAGCACACTGGGACCACTACTGTCTGGAGAACTTAGTCCCTGCATGCAATCCTATGGCTCTATGTCAAACACAGGAAGTATGTCCTCTGCCTCTCAACCAGAAATGGTGATGGTGCTAAAGGAGGTTCAACCTACAAATGTCCTACCAGTTACCTCCACCCCTAGGATCAACTACTCTGAGTCTGCTCAGCCTATCACAGAAACAAGTTTTGAAGGTAAGTACAAACAGCAAAAAGGGACAGCAATAAAAGAGGATCAAATCTGCAGCTGAGAAGTAAGTCCACAGATAGGTAGAATTTAAGTCCTGGGAGTTCAACCACCACCTTTGGTTAGAGTTCCCCATATTAACTCTACATAAAAACATCCAATATAGGCTGGCATGGTGGCTCAGGCCTGTAATCCTAGCACTCTGGGTGGCCGAGATGGGCAAATCACTGAAAGTCAGGAGTTCGATACCAGTCTGAGCAAGAGTGAGACCCTGTCTCTACTAAAAATAGAAAAAAATTAATTGGCCAACTAAAAATATATAGAAAAAATTAGCCAGGCATGGTGGCACATGCCTGTAGTCCCAGCTACTCAGGAGGCTGAGGCAGGAGGATTGCTTGAGCCCAGAAGTTTGAGGTTACTGTGAGCTAGGCTAATGCCATGGCACTCTAGCCCAAGCAACAGAGTGTAACTCTATCTCAAAAAAAAAAAAAAATATCTAATATAGGTGGGAAGGTAGAATACTATAGTGGCCATTTAGGATACCCATAAGAGAACTCCAGGAGTATGCTGGGGGTTACCACACTTTTTGCTGCCCTAGTGTGCTGATAAGTTTGCCTGAACCATCACACTGGAATTAAACCTCTTCCCTGATATATTGCTTTAGTCCCTTTGGAAGGAACTTCAGAACCCTTATTGTGGTAGTGACATTTTAATGTTCCTTAGTTTGCACCAGGATTTAAGACCTTGTGTCCAGGGACCCTGTCCAAAGCAAGCAGGCTCAGAACCTGTCCTTGCTTGTCTATTTCATGAGGAGGAGCTCCACTCACTCTCCTAATCCATGGAGTGAAGTGTGTTTGCACTCTCAGCAGAATGAAAAAAATAGAAAGAGGCCGGGCGCAGTGGCTCAAGCCTGTAATCCTAGCACTCTGGGAGGCCGAGGCGGGCGGATTACTTGAGGTCAGGAGTTCGAAACCAGCCTGAGCAAGAGCGAGACCCCGTCTCCACTATAAATACAAAGAAATTAATTGGACAACTAATATATATATATATAAATTAGCCGGGCATGGTGGCACATGCCTGTAGTCCCAGCTACTCGGGAGGCTGAGGCAGAAGGATCACTTGAGCCCAGGAGTTTGAGGTTGCTGTGAGCTAGGCTGACGCCACGGCACTCACTCTAGCCTGGGCAACAAGCAAGACTCTGTCTCAAAAAAAAAAAAAAAAAAATAGAAATAAACTTATGTAAGAATGCTACAATTCATATAACATTTCATATGTTTAAAACTCACTTTACTTTTTATTTGGCCTATAACAACTCTATGAAATATTAAAAAAACAAAGAAATAATGACACCTAATGATACCCAGTAAGAACTAGGATAGTCACTGCCTGTATCCTAATACTGGGTCTTGTCCATGGTACCCAGGAAGAGCTAGTGGAAACACTGTGCCCTCTGTTACAAGGAGCCTGACTCTGCATTGGTGTTTAGGGAGAGCATCTCACTTACCAGGGACTGACTGCTTCCTTGATTCCTTTGTAGTGATGGAAACTTCCCTAGAGATGGACACCTCCCTGGGAGATCGAAGCTACCCCCCACCTCCTGACTTTGGGGACATTTCAGTAATAGCTCCAGTCCAGAGTCCTTCTGATTTCCTTCCTCCAGCTTCAAGTCAGGAACAAAAAGAGAATAAGAATTTGGATGAGATTAAAACCAAGCTGTCAAAGGCTCTGGATGCCTACCAGATCCCAATAGAAAACCAAGATCCTCCACTACTCCCTTTAGAAATCCCTGATATCCACCAGCTTCTGGCCTGCATTGATCCTCTTGGCCACGAGGTACAGCCTGGTTCTAAAACTGTCAGTCTAGGAAACAACAGCCTGAGTCTTCGGGATCAAGGCACACTTGAAAGTGAGATTGAGTCTGTCAACAGTTTTTCACAGATCACTACACTGGTGAAGGATATTCAACTTCTCTACCTCTTCAATTCCTTAAAAGATCTTGACCAATCCAAAGATCTCACAGCAATCAAAGCAGAAGATACCAGAGCCATCAAGGTGAATCAGTCACAGGAAAAGTCAAGTGTCACAAAGACTTCCTCTGGGCAAGTCAGGAAGAACAAGCATAAAGCTTCTGAGCCTATCAGTGGTGCTCCCAAGGCCAAAATCCAGCCAAAGAATCCAGAGTGCCTGATAGGGGAAGAAGTGATTGTTCTCAGTGCTGTAGCCAAACATTCTAACAGCAAACCTCAGAAATCTGCATCTAGCAGGGGCAGCAAAACTAAGGGTCGTGGGCAGGAAAAGACCAAAAGGACCAGGGAAAACAACTCCAAGAAAGCTGGAGAAAGTAAGCAGTCAGGGAACAAAGTCAAGGCAGAAGACAAGCCAACCATTCCCAAGATAAAGTCGAAGAAAAACCAACTTGAGCTTAGCCCAGAGAATTTTAAAAAGCCTCAAAGCTGCCAAGGCATGCACATGCCGGAGTCTGTGCAGGTTTTCCGTGTGCTGGGAAAAAAGAGCGATAAGCAAATTGGACTCTCTTTCTCCTGGAAGCTGGGAAATTCAAGCAACATTAAATACCCCCAGCCATCCCCAACTTTCAAACCATGGCTGGATACTCCACATGAGGATAAAGGTTCTGAGAAAACTCCAGTCAAAGCCCAGAAAACAGATGGCAGTGCTGGAAAAGAGTGTCCATCTCCATCGCAGTATGAGCTGCCACCACCTGGGAAGGTCAAGTTGGTACCTTTGCCCTTTCCGACCCTGAACAAATCTCCAGCTCAACCTCTTCCTTGGAGGCCACATTTTCTGGCTTCACATAGGGATGCTGCAGCTAACCCTGCCCAGCCTGCCTCTACTAGCTCATCTCGACCTATTGCAGTCCACCTATCCCAACCAGCTTCTGCCTGTGCATCTTCAACAGGTCCTGCCAGACCAACTCTGCCAATTTCCACCAATGCAACCAGACACAGTTTGATCAACCTTAGTCAGGCTAGTGAACCTCAGTCTGCCGCTTCTAAGCCAAAACCTTACAAAACATCACCTTGCACTTCTCCCCAGCAAGATCCTGTTTCCACTGCTGTGACCAAGCCCCAGTCACCGCCCAAGCCTCAAAACCAATTTCTACTCCAAGACTTCAGCTGCCAACCAATTCCATGGAGGAAACCCAGTATTTCTGGGCCAGTACTATCAAAGCCTACCACAAAAGAGCAGAGGCCAGAGCATGAAGCCATGAAAAGGAAGGCTCAACAAGAGCGTGAGAATGCTGCCAAATACGGCTCTCTGCGGAAACTACATTTTTTTCGTTGAGAAGGAAAAAGAGATGGAAATTTCATGCTGTATTATATAAGAGATGCTAAGCATTTTGGTACCACTTTGAGTACCAGCTGGTTTTCCACATATAGATAGACACAAATTTCTCTATTAAATCTGATATATTTTAAAAATTTAATAAAATTGAATAAAGAAATGTAATAAAATTGGTTAGTAGCAGAATAATAAACAGGCCTTTGAGTTTTTTAAATTTTTTTTCTTAAATTTTTTTTTCATTTTATTTTTTACATCCTTCAGAGGTCAGGAGCCTTTTGAGTTTTGATGTGCTGTTAAGTGTGGTTTTTCTTTTGTAGAGGTGGGGATCCAAAGCTGCATTAGAAAGAAGGCACTGAAAGTTGAGTGGGAGAATAGGGGCCATGGGATTAAGAATTGAGGAAAGAAGAAAGAACCTGTTCCAGGACTAGGAGGGCCAAAAGGTGAGAGATTTTGGGGTTTATAAAAAGAACCAAGGTTGGGGAAAATGGTATAACTAAGACACAGAGTCTAAGGTTCGGGCTAAAACAACAAAATGAGAATTAAGTTGAAAATGGGAAAAGATGAGCCTGGGTTGACCACAGAAATGTAAAGAAATCTTTCATGGAGAATGGCCTTATATCTTTTAGTCAGCGGTGCCTGCCCTGTCACAGAATCAACCCTCAGTAGGCCACGCGAAGCGTGTGGCTCACTCTGCCTATCAATCCTACCACTTTGGCGAGATCCAAAGTGGCCAAGTTTCTCTGAGGGCCGGAGTTCCCCGACCAGCCTGACCAAGAGTGCGCGAAAGACATGCCTCACAACGACAAACGACAGAACACGAAAGAAAGAAAGAAAGAAAGAGAGAAGAACGAACGAAGACACGAAAGCAGGAAAGCAAGAAAAGAAGAAAGAAGAAAGCGAAAAATTAACTGGGCATGTACCGCACTCACCTACATCTCAGTTCGCCATGCCTCACTCTGGAGGATCGCTTTCCACGCCACGCGGAGTTGTGGAGGTTGCGTGAGCGTGTGAGGAGTGGCCCAACTGGCAGCTCTAGGCCGGGGTGACGAGGCGAGACCGGCTGTCTCAAAAAAATAGGAATACAAGAATCAAACTCTCAGTAACCTAGGCCCGTCCACACTACCTCACATCACCGCCCACACCCGACCATGTCTCAGCCACTAAATGAATGGATCAAACCAATATGCGTATATTCATACATACAGAATGTCTGTGCAATGATGACCAAGAAGTGAGGCACAGACAGCACACAACAACATCGGTGACGTCTTGACAAACATCATGCAGTGAACAAGCCCAGATTTTCAAGAGGTTACATGTTTATATTTACGTGAGCAGGTCCAGAAAGGAAATCTCGTAGCTCTGGTGCGGGTTGCCTGGGGCCAAGAGGCAACGAGGAAGTGGGGAGTGATTCCCAATGCGATACGGGGTTCTCCTCTTGCTGATTATGGAAATGCTATGGATCAGCGCTATTTGCACGGTTGCACAACACCCCGGAATGTACCCAAACATGCTCTGAACATTGTATACGTTTTTACTTTCATTATTAGTCACTTTTTGTTTTTTTTTTTATTTTTTTGAGACAGAGTTCTATGCTTGTTGCCCAGGCTAGACGTGAGTGCGTGGCGGTCAGCCTACGCATCACAGCAACCTCAAACTCCTGGGCTCAAGGTGATCCTCTGCTAGGCGCCTCCGGTATAGCTGGACTAACACGGCCTGCCGCCACCCACCCCTGCTCATTTTTTATTCTATATAATATTAAAAAAAATACACATATAAACATCAGTTTCTTTTTTTTTTTTTAATATAATATTTTTTTTTTTATTTCTGAGACTAGAGTCCCTCCGCTTTGCTTGCCAGGTAGAGAAACAGAGAAAGACAGACACAACACTCGCCTCCCGCACATCCTCAACACTCTGAGGCAAGCATCCTTCCTGCTCAGCTCCGGGTAGCTGGGACTAACAGGCATGCGCCACCATGCCCGCTAATTTTTTTTTCTTTCTTCTTTATATTTTCGTGGCCACCTTTATTCTTCTACTTTATCCGTAGAGACGGGGTCTCGCTCAGGCTGGTTTTGCAACTCCTCGCTTGCGCTCGCGCTCGCAGCTTAGGATACGCGTGGCCACAGCTGCCCGGTCAATTTATTTCTGTTATAGTAAGACGGGCGGTCTTCGCTCTTGCTCAGCGCTGGCTTTGAACTCCTGACCTCACGAAATCCGTCCGCTCGGCGCTCCGCCATCATTATTAGGTCATGTGTTTAAAAGATCAGGCGGCAGGCATCCTTGTCATGGTTGCCCTCAGGCTGGCGAATGCACTGGCTATAAACCAGGCGCTTTCCCCACTACTGGACCATCTGTTATCATTATTACAACCGTGATTTTGTTCACGTGACATTCTACCTCAAAAAGAAATTTTATCATCCCACACAAATAGCTCTAAAAATGCTCAATTATTGACCTTTTCCATAGTTGCACCATCCCCTCGTCTACTCTGCCTCTTCCCATGTCCATTCCCTTTCTGGCCCTCCCCTTACCGAGCCCGTCACGCCGGTCCACGCCTTCCTCCCTCTCCCCCTGGGTGCTGAGTCTCCCAGGCCCCAGGAGCCTCCTTGGACCTTGGGCGCCTGCGCCATGAGGGCTTCTGGACCGGTGAGCCAGTGCGACACACCGCCGCAGGCAGCCTGCCACCCCGGGGGAACTGGACCACCAACCAGCTGGTGGCTTCTCCCGAGCGCTGTCGGTTGATGGCGGAGGTCCCCAGGAGGCCAGCAGTTAGCACCACCCCCGCGACGCTGGGGATCGCGCTGCGGACGGAGGACACTGGCGGAGCCCCTCAACTTCCATATTAAGGACCCTGCAGGAAGTCTCGCGATTCTCGACGCCGACGGTGTCGCTCTCTGACACACCAGCAGGTTGGCGCCAGCCGGCTATGGGACGCCTGAGAATCCACTGCGACACACCAGAGATGCAAACAACAGACTCGGACGCCGCGTAGGCTGGCTTCGAGGCCTTCGCTGCCGCGTGTGCTTGAGCCGTCGCCATCTGCTTCAAGCCAGCCTAGTGAAGTGGCCCCACAGTGTGGTTCGCGCTGGCTTCGGAGCTGCGGCCATCGGTGCTCATAACCTTGTGACAGGTTAAACGCAAGGAGTACGATGCCATGTGGACTGGCGTGCGAAAAGGGTATAAGTCAGTCCATAACATTGGGATTATATGTCAGGCCTTCCTGTTCTGGCTGGGCCTCCTGCTGAAGCGATTCACTTGCGGAG